TGTCTTCCTCTTAATATATAACACCATTAGAAATTTGTCATTCACCAAGGCCTCTCACTTCTATCTTCTAACTACCCTGATTTTTTGATCTTCTACTTTAATTCCTGTCTTAGCTCCTTCAACTCTTCCTGGGTTAATGCAGTAGGTTTCTATCTCATCTCCCAACCCCTGGTCCTGCTCCATTTCAACAGATCTACCACACATCAGTATCACTCTCTAAAGGTGTGGAGCTCCTGATGCAATTCTCCTAATGAGAATTCATCCTCTCATAGAGCCCAATAACCATGGGGATAGAAATTAAAATCACAAGCAAGGCATAAAAATTGTATTCATATCATTTAATAAATACCTATGGCTTCAACTTCAATTTTATCCCCTTCTCACTCGTACTCCAGCCTTTTTAATCCTTTGTAAATCCCTAATACCATGTGTTTTCCTGTGTTTTATCCTCTTACATGCCATTTCTTTCTGTTTAGAACATCAACAGATCTCTAACACCTTTCTCCACTTAGCTAATTGCCAAGAAATACACCAGTACTCTACATCTCCACTATGCCCTGAGTATTTCCTCTTTCAAAGCACTTAAGACCCCTACACTGGGGTTTTGTGTATTTGATGGTTTAAATGATGAATGGCTTGAAGTTGAGGACTGTGATTGCATCTATCTAAACATATAGAACACTGTGTCATGAACAATGCATTACTATGAAAATAAACGATTCCCTTAATATTTATGGCATTCACCAGGATCAAATATCCAAACAACCATGTGTACACAGAAAACAACCACATAGGGAGAGACACTATGACTCTGATTAGATGTAATTTGTCAATATTATGAAGAAAGAATAAATATGAAACCTATTATGCAATCCAAAATACAAAATGTCAAATGAATGGTGAAATTAGCAAGTGACAAAAGAATTGATAAGAGACAGATCACTAAGCACTTACTTTGCAGCTCAGAAAAGGTTTTTGAGAAAAAAATAAGAACCTGAGGCAGAATTTAAGGTGAACACCTGGATATTACATTTCTTGAGGTCTAGGGACAGGTTGGATTTTTTTCACTGCTCTGCCCATAAGGTCTAACACATGCCTGAATCAGAGTAGCTGCTAAATTAGTATTTGTTGAATGGAATTTTAAATTGTGCAGCTGGTGATGCAAGAAACATCTGTTTTTAAAAAAAGGAAGCACTTTTCTCCATTTGCTTTTCCATAAAAAGGTAATTTGTATATGTGTTTACTAGAACTCTTTCCTCAAAAGTGAAATATTGCTTCACTCTTTGGTTGGCAAATGTGTTGTTTCAAGATGGAGAAGAATCTGCTTTAAATGAAGAGAAAGCTATTTCAATCCATAATCCTCAGAGCCAAATTTGAATCTTTAAATGCATTTTTCATCAAAGAATCTTAACAAAAAGATTCCTGCCAATTTAACCAAGACTTCTAAAAATATATCATTCCCAAGCCAAGCTTTCTGCTGAGGAGCATTCAAATTGAAATCACATTCTTCTAAAGGACTGACAGTCACCTGACTCATATGGCTGGGAATCCATCACCATCTTCCTGAATAAAAACACAATGCCATTTCATTTAGGAATTCTGCATTTTCCTTACATTTTTCCAGATTTTTTGAATTTTCCTGGAACTTCTTCATACTCAACAGAGCTACTATCATGAACCAATCCAGAAACATAAGTAACCTTGTGTTGGACGTCAACTTAACGCATCCTTCCTTATTTCAAATTTAAGGAAACTGACACTTATTTGACAACTACCCAACCAAACACACTTAGAACAGCAACTGGAGCACACCTTGGGTCTCTGGAGTGCTAGCCTGGTATTCAGACTTCATTAGTTATGTTCATAGAACACCAATGCATTGATATACAGCATTTTATACATTCTGGTAGCCACTTGAGATGGGCAGAATAGGACCCTTCCTTTTTTTCAACAGGTGAGGAAATTAAACATACTCTGGCTGTGACCAAGCCTCATAAGTGCAACTAGCGCCTTAGACTCCTGATTCCATTCAGGCTCTTTCCATCACTGTCATCTACAATGAGCATCATCACACAGACATGGACATTTACTCCCTCAGCACAAAGGAGTCAATGGCAAATTAAATGCTCTGCTGCTTACCATTCTTCAAAGAAAAATGTGCTATAAGAGAAAGTTATAACTGCCAGAAGTTGGGGTCCACAAAGGATAATGAGGCAGAGATATGTGTATTAATCAATTCAAGGTTTCACTTTAATCAGTCATTCAGAGTTGAATCTAATCAAAATATCCTAAGTCTCTTAGACCTGTATATGAGGCATAATATACCACAACCAAGATCCTTTATTATTTAAACCAGAGACAGGATTTCTCATCTGTTGCTTCAAAGACAATAATCACAATTTTTTTTAAAGCTACATACATCACAAAAGTTTTCTTTGAAGGATTAATTTTAGTTCATTGACTGCTAGTTGAGGGGCCAACACTGTGGCTTAGTAGGTTAAGCCTCCGCCTTTGGTGCTGATATCCCATGATGATGCTGGTTCAAATCCTGGCTACTCTATTTCCAATCCAGCTCTCTGCTAATGTGCCTGAGGTGGCACTGGAGGTTGGCCCAAGTGCTTGGGCCCCTGCACCCATGTGAGAAACCCAGAGGAAGCTCCTGGCTTCAAATCAGCCCAGCTTTGGCCACTGCAGCCATTTGGGGAGTGAACCAGCTAGTGGAAGACCTCTCTCTATGTCTCTCCCTCTCACTATCTGTAACTCTGCCTCTCAAATGAATGGATAGATCTTTAAAAGACAAAATACTTCTAGTTGAAATGAAAAAAAGTTTATTTTTAACAAGTTAAAATGTGACCAGACAAATCCATGGGTGTTAGCATTAGGCTAAGAAAGGAATCTGGCTTGGAATTTTTAACACTTGGTTCTAATCAGTAATGTTGCAATGCTGTCCCATTTACAACCTGGAATTTATTTTTGCACTTTCAACATCCCATGAGTCCCATGATTTTCAGCAACAGTAAATAACTTTCAGTGATGACACCTCGCGTTAGGTGGATCTATATTTTGACCAGCAGGTCTTGGCATGTGTCCACCTCACATCTCTCTCCAAAATGTTGCTTGGAGGTAAAAAGTGAACAAAACTTGAGGGAAAAAAAACTCTACTACTAAACAATTTTTACAAGTTCTTAGCTTATCTATTGTAGTAACCAGTAATGACTCCATTGTTGTCTCTTTGGATTCTAGATTTTTCTTATTTTTTCCATAAAATCCCATTTTTTGGTGATGGTTTAAAGAAGAATGTAGTACAGTAAAACTTGGAAGACACAAATGAACATAAAGCAACATGAAAGAGAGAGGAGCCTGATTCAGTCACAAGTAGGACCACGCTAACTTCTGTATAACTTAGAAACAAATCTAAGTTCAATCAGATTCCAGTACTCGGGACTTTGGAGGCTTTGGGGCATTTTCTATCTTTATGCTGAAATCCAAAATATAAAATGATACAAGATCTCTCAAATACTACTAATGTGAGTATTTGTATATTCAAGAAACATTTTCTAATCACACAGGGGAATTTCATAATGTGTGGAAAATGTTTGGTTCTGAGTCACCCAATGTTGTCTTTGGTCTGTGCTTATATCCTATTTGACAACAATATTCCCAATAACTTCAATACAAAAAGATTCACGTCACATTAAAACATTGCCGAAATGGGTGAATAGTCCCTAGACTCTTGTGATACCTGAAGATTACCAGTTATCTTTGGACAATGCATGAGGACTATGCTGGTTAATTGAGTTTACTCCTTGTTTGAATTTTGGAAATCTGGAAATTTGTGTGCTGCTGAGAATATATTCAACTGAGTACTTCAGCATTCTTGAATTAATGAATAAAGTGTGCTAACTTTCAAGTCCTGATGCCTGATCAGAAGTGTTTTGCCTAAAAGATAACACATTGCAACCCCTTTAATAATTCATTCAGTTTCTTGACAGAACAATGCCAAAACAAGTCTTTTGAAAAGTGCTGTAGACTTTCAGGAGTTAAAGCAACACTAGAATTTTACATGAAAGTGTGGTAAGGCCTAGAGAGACTTTTCCATAGGATAAAACTTCAAAAACAGAAGAAAAGTCACTGGAAAAATGCCCCCCAAGTAAAGTTGGGAATCTGGGGCACGTGTCAGCCTTGTGTGGCTGCAGTGTTCCAAATGGGCAGCAGGGGGCGCTCCTGCATGAAGCAAACCCCCCACAAGTGGTTCCCAGTTGGAGAACACAGGCTTTTTCTCTCATCACTTGCCCCAAATCCTAGGAGGTAGCCACCAAGGAGTGCTGCTGTCAATAAACTGTACAAACTTAGGATAGGAGTTAAATAACATCGCAAAAGTGACTGGAGACAGCACAAGGGACAAAATCTGTCTTCTAGAGACATAGTAGCCAATTTTTTTAAAAATGTATTTGGGTGAACAGGAGGTGGTGAGCAATAGGGATGGGGAAGGAGGTTGCCCTTAGCTGCAGAGACAGTCCTGAACTCAACAAGTGTGTGTCATTATTCCAGGGTCGTGCGCTCAGCCTCTAAGTTGCAGTTAGGTTATATTCTGTTAAAAGCCACATCAACACATCTCCCTCGTCCCCTGACCCCACTCCAAACCAAGAGAAATCACTTGCTGAACTGGGTTTCCTATGAAGCCTTTCGGAACGCGTCTTCTGCAGGCAGTCTCCTGCATGTGGCTGTGTTTTACACGTAAACGTGTGTAACACATTTTATTCACTCCACACCAATCTTGGAGTCTCCTCTGAACCAGGTTGGAAAAAAATTGAGGGACCAGAAATTGCACATTTGTAACTCAAACATGGTAGACTCCCAGGTAAAATCCCCTGCCCTGGTCTCCACATCACAGACACAAGACACCTACCCAGGCCACTCTACCCTGAACATCTGGCTCTCTCCTCCATGCACCCACACGAAGATCTGGGAGGGATACAGCCAAAAACCTCAATACTCACCATATTGACTTCAGAAACCATATCAATACTGGCAATGTCAATGTTCATTCCCACGGCCACAGGGGGACCTGAAAAGCAAGACAGCCAGCCCCATGATTTCTCAGAACTTCATTCATTCTTAGCCAGAGTTGTCCCCTGCACAAACCTCTCTGTGCTGCTCACCCCCTAACTCTTCCATCCCCTGCTCCTGTGTGAAAAGGGTGGCAGACACTCACTCTTCTAGGAATTGCTCTTGACTGTGCACACACGTGTGCTCATGGACCAGAGATCCCAGCTCTGTCTACTTACGTAGATGTCTCAGACTGCACACACATACAACTCACAGAAGCTGGGGAACCATTCCAGCCCACTGAAACCCTCTCCTCTTCATTCGTTCCTATCCCCTTTTCTGTGGCCAGGTTTTAACTCTCTAAGCTTCCAAAGAGTGTGAAGCAAAATAAAATGGGCATAGCAGCGTATCTAGGACTGCAGTGAGAAAGGTCCTTCCTCCCCTGCCCTCCTTACTCTCTTGCATGCCCCTCCCCCAGCTCTGCCACCCTAGTCCTGCCCCTTCGTATCCCACGCTGTGAGGCTTGCAAGGCTGGATAAGATCCAGACCTGAGCCACTTTAAACCTAGCCAGAAGAACTCTTCCAAAGTAGGCGGGCACAGGGGGTTAATGCTACCTCTCAACCAATTGCTTGCCCATCTTATCCTCCAAAATGTTCCCTATGGCCTTCGGTAAGCCAGCCTCTCTGGGCACAGCCCCGACTAAACTTAAGAATCTCGTATCGCAACGCAGCAGACAGTAACGCATGGGATTTATAGCCGTGAAGCCCAGAGGACAGTAGTCACCGTTAAGCACGCGCTTCGAGGGCCCTCACGGAATGACCACCCAAGCGCCAGGCAGTGACAAATCGGCTCAAGTTTGGTTCAGTTTCTCAGTATGGTAAAATAGGGACACAGTCGGTACAGCACATGCACCTACAACTGGGGAGAGCGCACAGTGCACACACACACAGCTTCCGAAGACAGCCTGGGCTACAGCCGGGCTGTTTCTTCTCTGTAAGACAACTCCATTACCTCCGAAATCTGGTCTCAGACGAATGTCATAGCCTTTCAGGAGCCTGTCCACCGTCTCCTTAACCAGCGACATATTGCTGGGGTCATTGACACTAAGGGAAGAAATGACAGTAAACAGGCATCAGTGGGGAGCGGGCACAGCAGTCTCCGGCATTCCTGCTCGCAGAGGTATGCAGAGCGAGCCCTTCAAAGTGAGGAAGGAAAAAGCAGCGCGGGGTCCACTTACCTCTGGGCACAGACGGCGGCGATTATCAAGGGGAATGACCAGATCCCAAGGTAGCCCCTTCTCCGGACTCTCCACATCCCTTTAGTTTTGGATGGAATTGAGGTTTCACTGAAGAAAGGAGATCCAACTTAGTCTGCCCAGTGCAGTAATTCTAATGGGAGGCGCATGCGCACGGCGAACCAAAACATCAAAGGGGCAGCGGCGGCTGCCGGGCACCGAGATTTCCTTGTTTAAAAAAAAAATTAAAGGGGAAAAGGGGAAAGCACAGATCTGTATAATACACACATATCTGACTGTTGTGGAAAAGTCACCCAACAGGAGCAGCCAGAGTAAAATGTCTGGTGTTGTCCTTTTGTTAAGACAAAAACAACTACAGCGCCCCGGTAAGTTCGGTAGTTGCAGGAGGCAGTGGTGCACCTCGCGGGGTGTGGGTTTGGGGTGTTTTGGTGTGTGTGTGTGTGTGTGTGTATGTGTATGTGTTCTTAATATGCACACCCAGGATGGGATTTCAGGGGAGGCGAGGGGAGGTGTAGGGTGGTGGGAGTCCACTTCTGGTCTCGCGGCAGAGGGGGCGAGGACTTTGAACTTTATTCCCTCAGTGGATGGCATCCCCCGCCTGGGGCGAGACGGAGGTGGGGGCGGGGGGGGGTGGGAGTTGTGCTTGGGGGTGCCGGGGGCGCGCAGGAACCAATGGGAGCCGCGCTGAGCAGCCCGTTAGATTTGGGGCGGGAGGGGGGAGAATTAGGAAGAAACGGATAAATGGGGGAAAAAAAGGAAGAAAGAGGAAGGCAAAGACGATGCCGGGTCTGTGCTCGGAGTCGGGGAGCCCGCGTTTCTTCACTACTCACGAGCAATTCCTCTCTCCTGCTCCTCACCCCTTGCCCCCGGTCCCAGAGAGTGAACCACGGGGTCCGGGCTTCTCCGCGTGTGACGTTCCTGACCCGCTGGTCCCGGTTATTTATAGCAGGACGGGGGGCGGGGGCGAGGGAGCAGAGAGGCAGCGCTGGCTCCCCAGCTTTCGGCCGGATCCTGCACCGAGAAATCCTTCCTGTGCAGGGAGGGGCTGGGATCGGGGCGACGGGGACGAAGGGGCGCGCGGCGGCACAGCGCGGCGACCCTCGCCCTAGCGCAGGTGCTGCAGACGCAGGGCGTGGGCGCCCGCAGGGCTCGCGAAGGGCAGGTGGCCGCGAGACGCGCCCGGGCCGGCGCCCCACGCCCCTTGGACGCACGCGCGCCGCGCGCACCCACGTGCTGGCGGGCGCCCGCCCAGCGCCCCCCGCCCCGCGCCGCACTCCCCGCGCGCGCGCCCGCCCGCCCGCGTGTGCCGCCCACTTCCGCGGCGCGGCCTGGCCCCGGACGGCGCCTCTGCACCCAGCGAGTCCGAAAGGTCCCTGGGAAGCTTGGGAAGGGGCCCCGGGGCCGCCCGGGGTGCCGAGCTCGCTTGCTCGCGTTCTCCGCGCTGCCTCGTCCTTCGGGCCCCTGGCCTGGCGGGGTTCGCATTCCCCCCGGGGGCTGCCCCTTCGGTGTCACCTGGCCGGGCTCACCACGGCCACCGAGACCCCCCCCCCCAATGGAGGCGGCAAGCTTGGGGTGTGGAGTGAAGGGAGGGAGAGATTCCGTGCACAAAAGAACCCGTGGCTCCGCTGGAGGCAGAGACGTGCTGCGAGGCCGGGTCGGGACAGGGCTCCGAGGGCCCCCGAGTTGGTACAGTAGAGGCAGAAAGAGGGCACGTGGCGCAGGGCAGGAGTTCCCCATCTCCTTCTCCCCGACTCCATCCCCTGCGCCGGGGGAGAGCTGGAAAAGCCGGGGCTTACACGTGCACTCGGGATGGACCCCAAGGCTTAAGACCCTTGAGCGGCTCCTGTTCACCCTGTTCCGCCCACCCCGAGCCGGCAGCGCTGGCTTTTAGCTGCCCCTCAGCGTCCCCATTTTATGGATTGAGAAACGCGCCCCAAAGCCAAGGAACTTGCCCAAGGTCATTCAGGTGGCGAGAGGTAGACCAGGATTGCAGCTCCAAGCCAGCGCTCCCGACCGCTGGCCTCCAGCGCCCTCACTTTCCGCTCCCGGATCGTGCTCGGCGGCCAGAATGTTGGCTACGGCCGGCCGAGTGGTCCACGCGCGCCCGCGGGGCCGTGCCAGGCTTGCCCCCGCCGGGCGCAGCTGCAGGGGCTCCAGGGAACCGCAGCACCGGGGCCTGTTCTGGGGCGGCGCCTGGGCCGCACTCTTGACCCACAACCTCGGACCACCTCTCTCCTGCCCGGCCGGGGTCGGAGGGTTATTTGGGGGCAGCCTGGGGTAAAGAAGAAGAGGGAAGTGTGGAGGCGGGAGGGCTCTGAGCGCGGAATCCGACTGCTTCCTGGGCTGCAGGGCGAACGGGAAAGGAGAGAGAGCTTCGAGCTGTCACCTAGGGAGGGAGTTCTTAGGGCAGAGACAGGTGTAACAGTGTGGTGAACACCGGGCAGGTCTACAGCACCGCGTCCCTCCAGGCACCTAAGAGCCACAGAGAGGGAAGAGGAGGAGGCTGAGGGGACAGACATTCCAAGGGTCTCCGCTCTGCAGTCTTTTGAGTTGAGCATTACAGGCATCAGAATGATGCAAGACCTATGGCTCAGGCAAAGCGCTGATTCTCCTCTTTACACGTAAATGAAGAGTGGTAATCCTTTCACACAAGGCAAATACAGTGTGGAGGAAAGAAAAGTTTGGATTCTCACACTGTCCCCAGAGGAGTCACAGAGCAGCATGAGGCCCAGGGAATTAAAGGAGGAAGCCAGGGACAGCTCCACCCCCTCTTAAACACTTCTCAACACAGTGCTGGCCTTCGGACCACCCCTTACGGACCACCCCTTACTCACAAAGTACTCTCCACCCTGCCGGTCGGTCTCTTCTTCCCAGACCCACTTCAACTTGAGTTGAGAGAACAAAATTCAGTAAACAGAACCAACCAAAAATACTGTCACTCATCCAGAATAGTAATAATGGCCCAGTGAGTGATTAAACAAGTACATTTTGAAAGCAAGGAGCTTTTATCTCAGCAAGTAAAAGGGCACTGTGCAAGCAAAGGGCATAAAGGGACTGAAGGTAAACTTCTGGGTTCAAACCCAGATCAAACAGTAACTCTGTGACTTGGGAAAGTCATTTAACCTCTTGAAGCTTTAGTTTTCTCTTCTGGAACAATAAGAAAAATAATAGATATTCCCCAGAGGATCGTTGCTCATAGGGTGGCATTTGTCTGTGTGGCATCTGACATGTGACAAATCAATATTAGAATTTTTATGAATCGGGTATAATGAATGTAATGAATGGACTAGCGCCTAAATAAGGTGTAGTGGCATTCATCTGTAAAGACTGAGTGGAAGTAAATATGGTGCAATTAGTATAGATTAGCCTGAGAAGAAAGGAGCAAACATTTTCAGGGAATTAAAATGTGAGATTAAGAAGGAAATACACTGAGCCAAGCAGCAATCAAAATGAGAAAAGATGAAAGAATTATTTGTGTTCTCTGTTCAGTAACAAACCATGGGTGTCTCTTACCAATAACTGTAACTACTATAATTAAAAATACATTTACAAAACCTAAGATCAACTTATGTCTAAAGTGAGAGCCAGCTCTGGACTCTGTCTGGAATACTTTGCTGATAAGGCTGCCTAGAAAGAGGCCAAAATGTGGAACATGGAGGTGTGTCAGTTGCAGGAGAGAATCTTCCAACATCCCAGATATTCAGTGAGAAGGAAAATATAAACATTCTTAAGAGATCATGCTTCAAGTCATCTTGGAGTATGAAGCATATAAATGCAAAGAAAAAACAGTCACTAGCCATTGACCATTAGTCTTCACTATAATAGCCATTCATTATTCAGTAAATGCATGGGCACCTACTCTTTGTCAACCCTTATTTAAAAAGCATTAGGAGGGGTCCCTGTTGTTGCTCAGTAGGTTAAGCCACTAGTGGTGTCATCTGCATCTCTTACTATGGCAATGGTTGGAATCCCAGCTACTCTGCTTCCAGTCTAGCTTTCTGCTAAAACACCTGGGAAGACTGCAGAGGATAACTCAAGAACTTGGGGTCCTTGTGAGACCTGATGGAGTTCCGGCCTCCTGACTTCATCCTGGCTCATCCTTGGCTGCTGTAGAAATTTTGGGGAGTGAACCAGCAGATGGAAGACCTAACTCTCTCTCTCTTCCTACTCCACCTACCTGCTCCTTCTCCCTCTTCCTCCCTGCATCTCTGTGTTTCTCTGCCTTTCAAATAAATTTTAACTTTTTATAAAAAGAAAAGTACCAGGGATGAGATACTGAAAGGACAGACATTTTCACTTGGAGTTTATACACTCTAGTGTGAGAAAGAACCATCACAGAAATAAATACAGGTGTAACATGACATATAGTCAATTGTGTTAAATCCTTGCAAATATTTTTAACTTTTTAAAGAAGTGTTACATGTTCATACTATTAAACTCAAAAGATAAATCACAGTGCCCCCGTCACCTTCTTTCTTCAATAGAAAATAACACAACCCAGTTGTTTGGGTGGAAATGATAGCCTTTTGACTGTTGCCCAACCAGTACTCCAGGTAGTTCTTCCTGATCTCCTGCTGGTGAAGTATCAGCAATGATGATTTTCGAGATCATCTCATAGAATTTTGCTGAATTCTTTAACTGTTTGTCTATATAATTATTTTCAAAACAAGTAAAGGCTATATTAGCTTTAATTGTTCATTGAAGTCTTTTAAAATAATGAGCAGACAGGCCAGTGTTGCTGTGTAGCAGGTAAAGCCAACTCCTGTGACACTGGCATCCCAAATGGGTGCTGGTTGCAGTCCCAGCTGTTCACTTCCAATCCAGCTCTCTGCTAATGTGCCTGGGAAAGCAGCAGAGGATGGCCCAAGTGCTTGGGGCCCTGCGTCCATGTGGAAGACCAGGAAGTAGCTCCTGTCTCCTATGTCCTGTCTACTGGCTTTGGATTGACCCAGCCCTGGCTATTGTAGCCATCTGGGGAGTGAACTAGCAAATGGAAGATTTCTTTTTCTCTCTCTAATTCTGCCTTTCAAATCAATATAACAAATCTTTTTAAAAAATAATGAGTATACATTTGAGCAATAATAAAGCATAGGGGAAAAGTCAGAGATAACAGAAAGTTCAGTATATATATACACATATATGTGTGTGTATATATTTATTACTTTCAGTACATGCAATAGCACAAAATTGCCAATTATTAAAGTGTTGTCAAGTTCATGGCTTCCTAGATTTAATGTAATATCCAAATAAGAATTGTTTTAAATAATCATTCTATATATCTTATTTATAGATGCACTTTTATTAATTTATGTGTGATAAAGGATATGCCAAGAGTAGTTTACATTTTATCAAATATTTTCCCCTTATGCCTGTCAAAAAGTCTCTTCTTTGTCTTACAAACCTTGACTTCACAGATACTAGAAAACAAAATGCTCCCAAATTATCACAAATCCTGTACTATGGCTTATGGCTTAATATGACTTTACTCTGCAGAATTAGAAAATCTCATGCCCACTGAGTCATGATTCTCCTTTAGCAAGTAATACTAACAGTAAATCTAAATTGTGGCAAAATTTTTGGTCACCATAATTCTTATATAGGTCATTTAATGTACTTAAAATATTAGTAATAATAAAATAAAATCTATCTGACAGAAACTGTTCCAAATATTTTATACATAATTTAGTTAATTCTCACAATATGCCTGTAAAATGTTTATTTTTTTATTCCCACTTTGCATGTGAGGAAACAGGAGGAGAAATTAAATAACTCTAATATCACATAGTTGAGAAAGGTGTTTGGAGCACTGGTTAATATGCCACTTGGGATGTCCACATCCCATACTGCAGTGCAAGGGTGCAGGTCCCACCTCCACTTCTGATTTCAGCTTTTCGCTAATATGCATACTGGGTGGGTCCTTGCCCTCAAGATGGGAGACCCAGATTGAGTTCCAAGCTCCTGACTTCAAATGAGCACTCTGCTGGCTGTTGTGAGCAGTTGGAGAGCTCACAGGGATATACCCTCTCTGCCATCCAGAGAGGGTATATTAGAAATTAGAAATTATATCAGAAATTAGAAATAAGGTCACAAAATTTATAAGAAATATTAAAGGACTCAAGTCCTTCCTGATAACCATGGAATTCGTAAAGGAAAAGCCTGTAGACTGTCT